AAATGAAAAGAGACTGGTCGGTAAAGATTACAATCGACACTTCTCGATCTTTTTTCCAATTCTATCAAACGATTCGGAAGTATCATCCTCTACCAACACTTGGGACCCCCCCTCCCCCTCTCACTTTTCATCCGCGCAAACCCCTCCCCTTCCCCCCTCCATTTCCCACAATTATATCTAGCTAGCATTTATGCTCCACTTTAGCAAACATTCTGTCAGAGGTATTTCCATTCCCTGTCAAAATTCATGCATCAACGCTACAAAAATCAATCTTAATGCTAAAGCAACTATCGACTAAGAGTTTTTATGAAATAATTCTACTGTTTCATTTTTTTTCAATTATTTCTCCTCCACTACTTCATCTCCCTCTCTACCATTCTATACGTAATAAATTAACTGTTTAACAAAATCCTCCTACTTACTACTACTTCCTACTCATTTTAACTTTTGGCCCTTCCTTTATTGCTTCTGTTCACTACGGCCCCAAAAAATCACCCCGAGTGAAAGTTACTGACAGGCACTGGCAATGCGTTTTCCTCAATCAGCGATTATATTTTTTTGAAAATCTATCCCTCTTCTCCCCATTTACACGAGCAAAAATTCATTTCCTAAAATAGCTTTCTAACGGAAAACTCCAAAAAAAAGGAAAAAAAAAACACTACTGCTCTTCCCAGAACCGAGGCTAGAACGTCGCAGCACTTTTTCATTCAAATTTTTGTCTACCTATCGCCAAAACCCCCATCCCAACTGAACTTATATTTCCTCCAATGAAGATCTTTGATTTTCGGAGCAGAAATCGTACAAAAAGGACAGGGAACGATCAGATCCTGAGATGAGCCTCAGAAAATTGTTCAACAACAAACAAATCCCAACCTTTCTGCCAAAAAAACAGCAATCATCCCAGCACCCACAATACTGCAACACAACACTGCGCGCTACTACCTTGCCGACTGCATGCTGCAATCATCATCACGTTTCTGTCGTGCTGCTGCCAATTGTTCCAACGTATTCGAATATGGATTCTTGCTACCACTGTACAAGGCTTGCTGCAAATTGGCTGTATTTCCAAGCGACATCAGATTTGATGAAGTATTGAAAAGTCCCGCTGCTGCAGCTGCTGTGAAACTTTGTGGCAACCCTGCTGC